CTGTATATCCTAGGTAAAATAAAATAAAATAAAATCGCAAAGACTTCATTCATCTCTGTACATTCATCGGACATTTAGGAAGTTCAGTACTTTGATCTGCTTTGTAATCCTGTGCTTTATTTCCTTCAGGATCAAAAGAAAATGTAAGTATCTATCACTCAAGAACTTGATGTTTACTTGACCTTGCATCACTATTCTCAATAGAAACATCTGGAAGCCAATCTTATGTATCCAGTTCTCAGGAGAAATCGTCTAATCTTTTTGCTTTTCTCAAAGTGACATTTGCTACATTAAAATTTGAAACTATAGAACAACATCTTACACCCTATACCAAAATAAAATCAAAATGAGTACATGATTTAGATATAAAGGCTGACACTATAAGCAAACTAGGAGAGCAAGGAACAGTTTACCTGTCAGGTCTATGGAGAGGGGAAGAATTTATGACCAAACAAGAGATAGAGAACATTATGAAATACAAAATGGATAATTTTGATTATATTAAATTGAAAAGTCTTTGCACAAACAAAGCCAATGCAACCAAGATTAGGAGGGAAGAGAAAACTGGGAGAGAATTTTTATAGCCAGTGTCTCTGATAAAGGCCTCATTTCTAAAATATATAGATAACTGAGTCAAATTTACAAGAAGACAAGTCATTCCCCAATTGACAAATGGCTAAAGGATATAAACAGGCAATTCTCAGAGGAAGAAATTAAAGCTATCTATAGTCATATGAAAAAATGCTCTAAATCACTATTGATTAAAGAAATGCAAATTAAAGCAACTCCAAGGTACCACATCACAGCTATCAGATTAGCTTACATGACAAAACAGGAAAATGATAAATGTTGGAGAGGATGTGGGAAAATTGGAAGACTAATGCATTGTTGGTGGAGCTGTGAACTGATCCAACCATTTTGGAGAGCAATTTGGAACTATGCCAAAATGGCTATAAAATCCTGCATTCCCTTTGGCCCAGCAATAACACTTCTAATGCTGTATCCCAAAGAAATCATCAAAACAGGCAAAAGACCCACAAGTACAAAAATGTTTATAGCAGCTCTTTTTGTGGGCAAAGATTTGGAAATTGAGGGGATGCCCATCAATTGGGGAATGTCTGAACAAGTTGTGGTATATGTATATAATGGAATACTATTGTGCTGTAAGAAATGATGAGCAGGCAAATCAGAAAAACCTGGAAAGACTTGTATGGTTTGATGCTGAGTGAAATGAGAAGAACCAGGAGAACACTGTACACAGTAGTAGCCACATTGTGCAGTGACTGACTTTGTTAGACTTTGCTTTTCTCAGCAATGCAAGGATCTAAGACAACTCCAAAAGACTCATGATGGAAAATTATATCCACATCCAGAGAAAGAGTCGTGGAGTCTGAATGCGGATGGAAGCGTACTACTTGCTCTCCTTTTCTTTTGTTGTTTTGTTTTATTGCTTCATTCTCAGGTTGCTCCCATTAGTTCTAATTCTTCTTTACATCATGACTAATGGGAAAACATGCCTAATATGGATGTATGAGTAGAGCCTATATCAGATTGCATAACCCCTTGGGGAGGAAGGAGGAGAGGGAGGGGGAGAAAATTTTAAACTCAAAATCCCATGGAAGTGAATGTTGAAAACTAAGAATAAATAAATGAATTATTTAAAAATTTTTTTTAATTTGAAACTAAAATTTTACCTAAGATTTAAAACTTTTATATATTTATCCTATCACATCTTTGTCCTAGGCTTCCCACTCTACCTTCAGCCTCACTGAGGGCAGATCTGGAGATATATATGTATATACTTGTGTATCTCATCAGATCATCTAGAAAAGAGGTAACACTGTTCAGACCTGATGTTACACATGATGACAGATATCTCACCAAGGGGCTGGATGGCAAGCCCACTGGCTCATTTTCCTAGTTGCTTAGGTTGGGAAATTGAAGGAAATGGTGATCACCAATTCAGAACAGTAAAATCCAAACAATAAGGTCTTGCATACTTGCATCACATTACAGCAACTCACAGATACTTAAATATCACAACAAGAAGACTTTATTCAAAATAAAACAAAACACCTTTACAATTCACCGGCTCTGGTTTTAGAAATTTGCTATGAAAGGAAGAGGGAGAGACATGGTTGTAACAATGTCAAGACTGTCCCTTCAAGGGCACCAACTGACCCGAAGAGGATGAAACTTCTGATCAATTCCAGGTAAGTCATAGTTAACTTTATTGAACAGCCAATATGTGGCAAAATTCCACATTATTCACAGGGTATCATTGCTGGAATCAGGATTAACTAAGTGGGAAACATTTGCAAAGGAAATAGCACAATGAGGAAATTGAGTCAAAAGGATTCTTCCATTGCCTTTGTAAGGCTGTCTTCTCCACCTTCCCAGGTGCAGGCAGCAACCCACAGCAGTTCTCAGATCACACTCACTTTGAGCAGCTCCTGGCATTTCCCTTCCATGGTAGTTTGCTGGTGTCATGATAATCCAGACAACTGTGCCTGAATTCAGAACTCAGAACACTACCAAAGGATATATATCATCCCAAGAGACTTTTCCTCAAATAGCCAGTTTCACTAATCAGCTGAGGGCAAGGCCCAGTTATTTTTTTTTTCATGTTCTTGCAGTAGCATTTAATGAGAAAAAAATTACTCCTTAGTTCTTATTAAGTACATTCAGGATCTTACCTTCCTCTTTCCTTCTAGTTTACATCCAGCCTGAAGCAAAAATCAATCAGCAGAAGTGGAAAAAATTAACCACATTCTATAGTTATACACATACCATGAATACATGATTGCTCACTCAAAACCCAGAAAACCACAGGCCATTGAAAGTCTCCAGGGTACAGGTATGCATATCTTCTTTTTTTTTTTTTTGGCTAGGCAATGGGGTTAAGTGACTTGCCCAGGGTCACACAGCTAGTAAGAGTTATGTGTCTGAGGCTGGATTTGAACTCAGGTCCTCCTGACTCCAGGGCCAGTGCTCTATCCACTGTGCTACCTAGCTGTCCCCAAGTTTGCATACCTTAAGGTATTGCATATTAACCCCTAAAGCAAAAATCTGGGGTATGTTGGAACTAAGTTGCTCAAAAGTATAAATTCAATCCATATTTTGCCAGTTTCAATTTTACAATTTTCATTATTAGGGGCCAGAGGAATCACAGCAAAATCACTTCTTTATTACTAACAAATTTCTTAGCCACTCCCACCCCAATCAATCCCCTCTGGCCCCTGCCAGAATGGTTGATGGTTGTCACGAAGGCCTTCAGCCAGGCTCAAAGCTCATTGGACATCAGAAAATTCACACTGGAAAGACACTTTCTGAAAGTAATCAATGTAATAGTCTTTAGACAACAGTCACCCCTCATCGGCCATGAGAGAATTCATACCGACTGAACTCTGATCATTGCAATAAATGAAGAAAGGTGCTCAAACAGAGTACGGAGCTAGCTGTTGTCTACTGTCTCACTCTCGGGGACCCCATTTGGGGTTTTCTAGGCAAAGAAACTGGAGTGGTTTGCCACGTCCTCCTCGAACTCATTTTACAGATGAGGAAACTGAGGCAAATGAGATCACAGAGCTAGTAAATGTCTGAGGCTGGATTGGAACTCAGGTCCTCCTGATTCCAGGCCTAGCCCTCTACCCACTGTGTCACCAGCTGCCTCACAGAGCTGGTCAGTCAACAGAAAATTCATTGTGAGGGCAGCTAGGTGGTACAGTGGATAGAGCACCAGCCCTGGATTCAGGAGGATCTGAGTTCAAATCTGACCTCAGACACATAACACTTACTAGCTGTGTGACCCTGGGCAAGTCATTTAACCCCACTGCCTAACCAAAGTAAAAAAAAAATTCATTATGGAGACAAGCCCTACATGGACTCAGTGTGGGAAGGTCTTTAGCCAGAGATCATCTCTTATTCACATCAGAGGATTTACATTCATGGATGGGCTTTTACTGGGGTCAGGCCTTTTGCTGGAAGGAGGAGGTCACTGGACATCAGAACATTCATCCTGGAAAGAAGCCTTATAAAAGCAATGGCTGTGGGAAGGCCTTCACCTAGAGCTCATATCTGAGTGCTCACTGGAGAAATCCTGCTGGAGATAATACGTAGGGAATAACACATTCAACGTGGGAAGGCCTCTTGCTCAGCACAAACTTCATTAGACATCCAGAATGTCATACTGTGCTTAAAACCCTATAAATGTAATGAATTTTTCTCTGGCATCCTAATGGTTGTCATTACTCTTCAATAATATTCCACAGCATTCCTACACTATCACTTCTTTAGCCATTTTTCAAATGATTGGTACTTATTTTGTTTCCCATTCTTTACTAGCACAAAAAGTCCTAGTATAAATATTTTGGAATCTGTTGGACATTTATTTTAGTAATGATTTCCTTAGGTAACTAGGTGGTTCGGTGGATAGAATTTTCTGTCTAGAGCCAGAAGACCTGAGTTCAAATTAAGTTTCTGATGTTTACCACCTGTGAGTCACTTAACTTATTCCTACCTAAGAGAGAATGATATCACCTCCTTCACAGGGTCAATGAGAAGATCAAACAAGATGATACCCGTAAAATGCTTGGCAAGCATTAAATCCCTAGGTAAATGGCAGCTATTATTATCATTTTGCCTGGGGTCCTAAGCCTCATAGCAAAATCAGTGAGCTAAAAGGTATGGAGAGTTTGGTCAGTTTTCAGAATATTCAGAACTGTGCAGACAAAGGTAGGGCGTTATAAAGGATATGGCACTGGATTTTGTGCCAGGCAGACTATAAAGCAATGGTCATCAAAAGTATTTTGTATGACATTAAAAATACAGAGGATGATACACTGAAGAGACCAGGTGCATAATATACAAAAGAAAATGACTGTAAAAACCCTGGTTCAACAAATCCAAAGACCTCAACAGGGGAGCCAGGACTTATTAATCATTACAAAGTACTGGAAAAACTGGAAAGCAGTCATTCAAAAAGTAGCTACAGGCCAACATTTCCCACTGTAGATCATGATCAGCTTTAATCAAACACATGCCTTAGACAGAAAAGCTCAGTTCAAACAGATGAGAGGAGCCATGAAGATACATTGTGCAGTTATGGGGAAGGGAAGAGTTCATCACCGAAAAAAGGATAGAGGAGATCACAGAATATAAAATTAGCAGTTTTGATCACATAAAACTACCAACGCATCTAAAATTGAAAAGGAAAAACATGCTTTAGAACCCGCTGTGTGGGACAGCGACCTAAAAAAAACCTCAGAGGTATCTCAAGGTAGGAACAGAAAGTTTACTTCAATTCTCGAGAATCGGGTGTTCCTGCACCAGCATGATTTCTGCTGAAGGAAGAGAAATTACAGAAGCAAAAAGCCAGCTTAAATAACCCTAGCAAAGAAAATTCCCCCTCCCACCAACTATCCAATATTTGGCTTACAATCTAAGCGTGAAAATCTATTCCCAGACACAAAGAACAAAGAAACAATATGCATATCCAGAAAAGAAAGAAACAACATAACAAAGAAACAATCACCTTAGTTTGCTACCAAAATGAAACATTTAGAATGTGCATCCAAGCTAGAAGGCTACTGTGGGAAGGTCACCGTGACCGGAATGTATGGGGATACAAGGGGGTTTCAAAGTTTCAGGCCTGGCAATCTTTAACTACTGACCTCACACTGGGGGAACTATAGAAATCTATACTTATCTGCCTCATGAACTTATCTCCAAGTTCAGGATAATCTTATCCCAAACCTTAATTACACTGAGACGTCTTCACAGGGACATCCCACTCACCATCACAACTCTCCCTAGAGAGGGAGAGCATTTTTCATCATGGGTACTTCATAAATGTCATTCATCTTTGCATTGATCTGAGTAGCAAAGTCTTTCCCAGTTGATTACTGTTACAATATTGACTGTGTGCAAGGTTTTCCTGGTTTTGGTCACTTTCCTTCGCATCAGTACGTATAAATCTTCCCAGGTTTTTCTGAAACCATCCTGCTTGTCCTTTCTTCCAGCAGTAAAACTGAAAATTGATTTAAATTCTATTTTTAAGACTTAAGCTGGCATGTCTAATACCCTCCCACACCTGTGTAAGTCCAGACTCCTTACCTTTGTAACGCTGCCCTTCTCCTGTATTCTGGGAGGTATATGGGATGTTCACGGAGGCCTAGCACCTCTGGAGAGAGGGCTGCCAAGCTCCTTTCTGTGCTGTTTTTCCACCCTTGGTGTCCACCTTGCACTCAACTCTCACCCGCGGCTCCAGGAAGCTGTAGCACGCGCAGCATGGTAAACCACGTTGGCAGACAGACTAAACCAGGTTGAGGGGAAGTGATAGGCCTCAATTCTGCTGGTGCATTAGGGGATGTCACCCCAAGCATGTGAAAACTTCTCCCAGTGGACAGATGAGAACAATGTGTCCCAGTGGCCACAAAGGGGGCTGAAGCAGGTATTGTCGAGTGGTTAGAGTTTAGTCAAATACCAAAGACGCCAAGGTCATCCACTGCATCCAGGACCACTGCCAGTCATCTTGACTTTTGTCTTCCCAGTGGACTTTGACGACTCTGGGAGAGTGAGGCTGACGACTCTGTGCTCTCTGCCTCACTTAAATGCAATCCACACACCAGTCTCTATGCCCTGTGATGTCACCGGTCCTCTTTGAAAAGGAAGGACAAACAATAATGACAACAACGTTCAGGAGCTGGGCAGCCCACTTCATCACTGGCCTCTGCAGTCCACACTGGTGCCGGAGCCCCTCGGCACTCCTGAGTCCTTCTCTTTGGGGGTGGGCAGGCTACGTCACCGTGGGTCCTGTCGTTCCCATCGCTGTCACTGTAGAAGCTGCCATGGTTCTGCTCACTTCACTTTGCATCAGTTCATAGGAATCTTCCCAGGATTCTCGGAGGGCCCCCTCCCCCTCCCCTCTCCCCCATCCCCCTTCCTCCCAAGGTCAC